GGCTGCTAGGCCCTGCTGCAGCCACAAAGCCTGCCAGCTGTTGAGGAGATTGGTGCTGGGGGGTTCTGGAGCCCTGGACTCCTAGCTGCTGACAGGCAAAACTCATGACATGGGTGCTTGTGCTAGCTACCTACTGGGTTACGCAATCAGTCATGATTCTCTCAGAGACCAGCTCAATACACAGTAGCTAGCTAGGATAATGAGTTAATGAGCAAGAATTAACACCTACAAAACCACCGACTAAGGAGAAGAAAGAATCAATACAGAGCCAGGAACTCCCTCTGCCCCAAGACAGAGACAGTCAGTTGCACAAGCATCCATGTCACGAGGTTTGCCTGTCAGCAGCTAGGGTGGCACCCATCTCCTTAACAGCTGGCAGGTTTTGTGGCTACAGCAAAGGCTAACAGGCCTGCGGCTTTCACCCTGCTGCACATTAACACACACAGTGTCACCCATGTCACGAGTGTTGCTTGTGCAGCTTGAGGTACAGTTTCCCCCAAATCCCTGAACCTATCTCCTTGAAACTTGGCAGGATTTCTGGCCTGAGTAGGGGCTAGCATGCCTGCAGTTTTGACCTATCTGTGGCTTATCACATACACGTAACACAAGATTTGCTTTGAAAACTTTGGGGTGCAGTTTCCCTGACCTCTTGCACCTATATCCTTGAAACATGGCAGGCTTCATGCCCTCAGAAGAGGCTACCAATCCTACAAGATTCATGCAAATAAGGCAACAAATGACAAAGTGATAGGCTGTTTTGTCCTTCCCCATTATAGCCTATGGGCGAAACAGCGAAACGTTTTGACTTGCCTCCTTTTGTTTCGAGGCTGTTTAAACTATATCTGTTCCCTTTTGATTTTGCTGTTTCGACCACGAAATGAGTTGAAACAGCGTCAAAACAAAACTGGCAGTGAAATTTTGCACAGCCCTAGTAACTAAGTTCTGCCCGCCATGGTGGCAGCAGATCAGGAATAGCTCACCCAAGGATTAGGGGTGGGTTAGCAGGATGATTCTTTAGGTGCATCCCAACATCATACATTTCTATTCCATGACCGGTGTGTGAACCTGGGGGGAAATCTTTCTATTTTTCCTTTCCAAGGTCTGGACCCCAGTTATTGGTTCCCTCCACACATGCTGGGGGTGGGTCAATGGTGTGGTTCTTTGGGTGAATCCCAACATCATACATTCCTTTTTCATAGCGAACATGGGGGGAAATCTTTATGTTTTTCCTTCCCAATGTCTGGAGCCCAATTACTAATTCCCCCTGTAGGATCTGAAGGTAACCCCAGGCAGCGCCCTCATTTGGAAAGATGAGCTGAAGTTGACCTAAGAAAAGATAAAAGAACTAAGTTGCAACAAAAACACTCTTCAGCAACAACAGACTTCAAAATACTCACGCAAGTGGAAGAAAAGGTACAAAGGGTGGACTGAGGTGAACTGAATTGGCTTTGTTCCCATTCAGGAGTTTTCCAAATCACAATTACATGTTCCTCACTGGATTGGACTATCTCATCAGGAAAGGAGTGAGTCCTGGCTGTGGGAGGATGGCACAGCTTTCTCCAAAGACCTGTAAGTCCCTTGTGTCATGAGGAAAGATTTGCTTGTATTTGAGCTAATAGCGCACTTTCCACCAACAGTGGGTTGAATAATGCTGCTTTATGTCATACCCCTCCCATGAGAAATGTGCAGATACATGGCCCTAAACAGCAATAGAGAGAGAGTCTGCCATAGAGAAGAGATGGGTCATGGAAGAGAGAGGATGCTCTCTATACACCCCAGTGGGGAAAGGAACATGAGATTTCCTCCAGCCAGGAGGGCCACTTTGCTGTATCTGGTGTCTCTTTCCCATAGTGGTTTTTAGTATTTTCCCTCCTGTTATTCCTCAGTGCTGGTCAAGGGAAGGAAAGTGAAATACCTGGTCTGTGAGAGGCGGAGCAAGGCACATTGAAAGTGTTGCTGGGAAGGGGCCATGGGCAGGTAGAGCCAGGGCTTCTGCAAGTCATGAATGGCATGTCTTGAATGGATGCTGGCAGAGCTGTGACAGGAAGCTAACCCACTCTGTCCAGGTGTTGCCAGTGATTTTTGAACTTGAGTTTCATGAAGGACAGACTCATTCACAAATTTAGACATGACATATACTTTAAATGCCAGCCCAGCAGCTAATTCCACAAGGAGTAGCACTGCTGAGGACTGGAGGTGGGACTGGCAGGCAGTAATATATATCTCTCCATCCTAGGTTTGCAGTAGCCCAAGAGAATACCTCAGGGTGCTGTGTGCTTCTCTCTAAAGTAGAAGCCAAATGCATTCCTTGTGAGGAACCGTACCCCTGGATTTGCAAGAAGGAGGCTGTGCATCCAGAACCTGCTGCTCTGGCAGAAGGAAGGAAGAAAAGCCTCTAGAATATATTCCTGCTCCATTCCAAGTCCTGGCCACATACACAGCCCCAAGGTCCTCATTGTCACCAATTTAACATTCACTGCTGCTTCCAGTGTCAATTGCTCTAAATGCTTAGCTGTGGCCATGGGAAATGCTGATGAGAGGTGGGAAGAAGATGGGACTTGATTATTGTCCTTCATTTGATAAACCACTTGACTCAAGGAGGGAGCAGTCAGTCTGAACAGCCAGGCCCAAGCTGCAATCTGGTTAGCTGTATGAAGCTGGAAGGCTTTTTTTGTTGTTGTAGTACACATTAATATTTCTAGGGCCACTTGCCTTAAGACAGTGGTTTTCAACCTGTGGTCTGTGGACTCCTGGGGTCCACAAACTGTGTAACAGGTCCACATGTGATACCTGTGATCAATCAAAAGTATGTAAATACCCACACTTACATTTCAAAGGGGTCCACACCTCCATTCAAAATTTCCAAAGAGAGGCAGCAGCATTTTTGTTTCCAGAAATCATACATACACACACACCCTCCTTCATCACAAGAAGCAGGGGCCCAAGCAGCCCTCCACAAAGTGCAGTGGTCTCAGCACATATGCCCAGTCTCCAATGCTGGCCCTTTGCTGAGACCCACTGAGACACACTAGATTAGAGGGCTGTGGCAAACTACTGGTCTGTGTCAATCCCCTGATTATCATGGCTGATATGGGTGGGCCTTTTTTCTTCCCACTGCTGCTGTCATGGGGACTGCACACTGTGCCCTCTCAGGGAGGTTTCATCATGCTCTTACTTGCATATTATTTTTCTCAAATAAAAGAACCCTGACAGTGAAAGCTTCTGACTGCTCTTTGTGTCAGAAAAACTGTAAAATAAGTAACTGCCTCTCCCTTTCTTGTTTAACGAGACTGCAGACTAATGGCAAGTTACCTCAGGATAATTAGTATTTACTCAGACTTTATGGCTTAGATGTGAGGTCTAAGGCTCATCCAGTCCTATGGACCATATGAGTGTTTTTGGGTCAGTCTGCAGGTCAAACCAGGATTGATCAACTATACAGTGCCCACAATACCAGGTCCAGCCTATGTGCCACACATAGCACATGCTGGCCCCAGGATTTGCTAATATGATTCAACATATGAGCTGGATTCAATGCTGCCTGCATCCTGAGGGGTCTGGGGCTGCATGCAGCATCCTGGACTAACTCCCTGTGCTGCTTGCAGTGTGCAGGGCCAGAGCTGGCACGTAGGGTCAGTCCAGCGACCCACAGGCTGGATCATATGGCTTCACAGGCTAGATCCAGCCTGGAAGACAAATATGACACCCTTGGTTTAGACTAATAAAATTATATCCTATTTTCTTTAATAACACTTCACTCAGAAAGATCAGTAACATTAGCAAACAGCCTTACTAATTAGGCTGCTCCTTTTCTCAATATAACATCAGTTTAAAACGGCCAGGCCGTTTTATATTCAGTGCATGAACCAGAGCTGAATTATGGGCTGACAGGACCCTGGCAATTAAGGTACCCTTTGGGAAGTCAGGGGCAGCAGGGGCCAGGTGGACACTCTGGGCAGGGTCATGCTAGGTGGGCAGGGGTGTCCGTGAAGGTGACAGCCGCTTCTTGGGGCTGCCTGCTGCCTGCAGTGCTGGGACAGGGCAGCCACAATTTGCTTTTTAGCGGGGAAATGAGGCCCTGGGTGCCTCAGGTGTCTGGGCAGTTTTATATTCCTTGCATTAAGCAGGGGCAGATTATGGGCCAATGGCATCACTGGCAATCAGGGCCCCCCTCCAGGAAGCCAGGGACAGCACAGCCCAGGCAGGCAGCCTGGCCACAGCCATGCAGGGTGGGCACAGGTCCATGCAGGTGGCAGCCATTTCCCAGGACACCAGCATAGCCCTGGAGTGAGGGGCACAAGCAGGACCCCTGGGGCAACAATTTGGCAGAAGCGGTGAGGGGTCCGATCCTGCTTTCAGTGGAGCCTGACCACCACCACCCACATCTGGAGGGTAAGTTTGTGGCAGGCCAGGCAGCCCATGAATGTGGGGGGCCATGTCCTTCCGTCATGAGGCAGCAGTTTAAAAATATGTGTTAAAATAGTAATGAAATTAGGAAAAAGACACTTAGTTAAATTTATATTAAATTAATGAAATCACAACAGTTTTGGTGAACTGTACATGTCAGCAACCTGCGACCTACACATCAACGGGTCTGTAGCAGGGATTAGTGGTTTGGCAGTATCCCCTGCTGTAATTCAGTACCAGAGAAATCAGCAGGGTGGATTGTTATATGTGTTTTGGGAAGTAGCCCTGATCTTACTATAATGACCACCTGATTTGTGGTCATGGCCTTATGGGCCAATCACATAGATCCATATCTCCCCTACATCATAGAATCATAGAAAATTAGAGTTGGAAAGGACCTCAGGAGGTCATCTAGTCCAATCCCCTTCTCAAAGCAGGACCATCCCCAACTAGATCATCCCAGAAACAGTTTTGTCTAGCCAGGTCTTAAACACTTAAAAGCCATGCCCCATGCTTCACAGATGGCATCCTTACAGGTGTTCTATCTATTGCTAATACAGCCCCTCACCGGGCCTTCCAACCCCTCGGCCTCCCTTAGCCACCCCTCTGGGCCTTCAAATGCCTCAGTCTCTCTGCCAACTCCACTCAGGTTGCCAGATGCCTCAGTCTTTCCTCTGGCCCTTCTCTGGGCCCTCAGACCCCTCGGTCTCATGCAACCACTTCCTGAGCTACCAGGCCCCTTGGTCTCTCTTTTGGCCCTTCTTCAGCTGCCAGCCCTGCTCAGGGCTGGCCCACAATTTTTGAAGCCCCCTGCAAGATGTAGGTTTGGGGCCCCCTGATCCACCAAAAAATCAAAATTGTGGTTACACTCTCCTCTTCCCCCTCCTGCTTCCTCACTAAATTAATGAATTAGACATAACTGTTTAAGAAAATTACACACAAAACTGACATTTAATTTTAGCTAGATAATTAAATATGAATATCTGAATAGCTAAATTAGGCAATGTATAGTCATTCCAAAAACTGAAACTGATGTTTCATTAACTAGAAATGGAGACTTCAACCTTCATTGGAAGCTTCATTGGAGACTTCAATCTTCATAGCACAACTCAGGACCCCAACATTTTGGAGAGAAATTCATGTACCACTCTCTTGAAATCAACCTCCCTACTAATTTCATTCTCAATGGATAGCATTGCCAGTCCTGATAACTGTTCTTGTGACACTGTTGAGCACAGGTATAACTTTATGAGCTTCAGCTTATAAAAGCTTCTTAGCTGAAGCAACAGTCACTGGAGCTGTCAAAAATATTATCAGCTCAATGCATACATTAGCATAAACAACTGACAATTTCTTCTCGTAAATGAACTGAAGAGTTTGGAGAGTATGCATTGTCTGTAGTAGAAGATGTGAGAGGCTTTGAAGTTCACCAACAAGATCAGTTCCGTCAATGTCTGTAGAACTACTTTCGTTATTCTTTAACGTCAGCTCTAACTCTGCGCAAAACTTGATTAAATCACTGGTAGATACAGTTCCCATTTTCTTCACATCACACAAAAATCCAAAGATGTTCACGAAGCTACTTAATAACTGAAAATGACTTTCAAGGCTCGTAATCACATAGTCCATTGCAACATTGAAAAACTCAGTTCTGAATCTTTGTTCTGCATCAGTGTTAACTTCATCTTCTGCTTCATAGCTGAAAAGTTTTATTTTCTTTATAACACGTGTTTGTGGAAGTTCAGCTGGCACAGACATTTCTTCTGAAAGTTATTTTGCTTTACAGAGTGCATCTCCAAATCCATTTTCTCAGTAACAGAGAAGTGCTTTTTGTGTACTTTCAACTAACTTGCTGGCAGAATCAATATATATTGTTTTACTCTGCATCATCCTGCTTACCAAATTGACTTGAAACAATATGTCATACCATACAATTAATGAAGCAAGGGATTGATAAGAAGAAATCTCGTCCATAAGTGATCCAGCCTCTGAGTATGTCAAATTGTCTTTTGTAATTTCTCTCAGTTTCAGCACTGATGAGCTGCCATTTTCAGTCTGGAATCTCACAGCCTTGACACTTTCTATAGTGGTGAGAAGCCCCTACAGGCACTACAGGTGCCGGGGGCAGCCCTGGGCACCCCTGGGGTGAATGGGCAGACCCCCTGTGCCCCAGTAGACTTACCTGCAGAGCCGCAGCCATGGCCGCAGCCACGGCCACGCAAGCCAGCATTATGCCGGCTCTTCAAACATCTGATCCCTGGGTGGGGTGGTGTCTGGCTAATTGTGGCAGCTGATGCCACCACCATGGAAGTTCAAAAACCCCGGCAGAAACTGGCAGGGAGGGGAGTAGAGGAAAGAGGGAGAGAGCCAGCTGGGAGCATGCCAGACAGGCAGTAAAGGCAGCTCCAGAGGCTGGTTATAGCAGCCTGACAGACACTGCCCTGCTCCAAAGGCGGGGAGGCAATGTCAGGAATTAGGCTGAGGATGGACAGTCCCCAGCCCTCACAATATCAAAGCTTATAAGAAGCATTCCTCTCCCTCGGAGGGGAGGAAGGATGCCAAAACACCAAGAAGTGCAATCCTTTGGGATCAGGGACTGAAGCTCCAGATGCATTGACACCTAGGTGACCATCAGGTTGTCCAAAGCTGATGCCAGACCCCATAACAAGGGGGCTTACAGAGATCGGCGAAACAGCAAGTGGAACACCCAAGCGGTTGGCGAGTAGACAGGGTGTAGGGGAGGCAGAGCCCCAAAGAACACCATGGCACGGCTGTGACCCCGTCGTTGGGTCACTTGGGAAGAAGAACACCACTGAACCCCTCCTTTCATCAGGTAACAACAAGTTGTGGCAGGCGAGTTGGGGACACCCTGACCAAGGGGACAGTAAGGTACTCACAGCACCCACTAGAGACATCACACTTTCTATTTTGCATTCCCATCTGGTGTCTGAGAGGGATTTCAGAGTAACATTCACAAAGGACTGCAAAATAGCCCATCTCCTAATTGATGAGTGTAACGCTCCCGATTATCCAAGAGTGGGATTTTCTTGAGTCCCCGCCAAGTTAGGCCTCACCTCAACTCACCTTCCATGACTTTGATGCTAACAAATTGAATAGGAGGGGTTCAGTGTGGTTAATGCAGGGGTCCCACTTGGGGTACTCATGGATCCGAGAGCACTTCACGAAGGGGGCTTCACCTCCCCTACATCCCCAGCCACATAGTTTCATAGTTTCATAGCTGGTAGGGTTGGAAGGGACCTGAACAGATCATCAAGTCCAACCCCCTGCCATGGCAGGAAAAAGTACTGGGGTCAAACGACCCCAGCAAGGTGTTTGTCCAACCTCCTCTTAAAGACCCCCAAGGTAGGAGCCAGCACCACTTTGCTTGGAAGTTGGCTCCAGATCCGAACCCTCCTGACTGTGAAGTAGCACCTCCTGATGTCTAGTCTGAATCTACCCTCTACCAGCTTGTGACCGTTATTTCTAGTCACTCCTGGTAGTGTTCAGGGGAACAGGGACTCCCCCAATGCCTGCTGGTCCCCTGTGACAGATGAAATTAGGCCTGTGTGATAAAGGTGCTTGCTGAAGGCTCTATGAAAATTAGACCAAGTGTTTTTCTGCATTTGTTTAGATATTAAGCTATATGTTGTTGCTAAAAGCCTAATTAAAGTTTAAGATGTAGTGAGGCCTTGTATATAGTAAGGCCTAGTAAATTTAGCAAAGCCTTGAAGTAGTAAGGCCCTGTGGCATAGTTAAAATTACCTTATCAAAGGAATGTAAGGCTTGTACTGCTATTGGTCAGTCTAAGGACAGTTGAAGTAAAAGGAATCTGAGTGGTTGTACGTTATCAGAACCATTCAGAAGCTATAAATTAGCTGAAATATCTAGAAACCATTCAGAAGGAAGATACAGCTCTGTGAAAAAGATTAGTTAGCTGTTGCCTGGATCAGTGGGCCCATGGATCACGACGAGCCCAAGGACTTCATTCCAGAGTCCTTCCTGGTACCCTTCGGACAGCGCCATTCGGGGACGCCTG